ATTTTTTGATCATCATTTAACTCAAAATCAATTTATAGTCTCGGAACCCACTTTTAATAGCAAAGCTCCCATATATATATAGTATCGCCTTATTAATTGATTAGACCCAATATATATATTTTTTAATATTTTTGGTATCAATTTTTTATTGGACAAGTATATTTATTGTGGTGTAACTATTTTTTGATCAAAATCAATTAATAGCAAAGCTCCCATATGTTGGGGAAAAAAAAATCACTAAAGCACGAACATATTGATTGAACCTGTGAAAGTGCGATATGGTTACACAAATTTCAGTTTAATAATGAAGATGATTTTCATTGTTTCATCCATAATGAGCTGACGAGATTTTCTCACACCCACACCACAACAATTCACAACAATATTAACGCTTGCTGCAAGTCTATTTATGAAGCACGAATTTGATGAGGCGAACTTTGTGAATTTATCGATAACGGGGCGGGCTAAGTAATTACGACATCTCTGTTGATAGGGGCAATCTTTTATGGTGCATCATTAAGATACTTTGCAGGGAAAGTATTACATTGTGTTTTTGTTGATCAAAAAGTAAAATGGAAAACAATAATCAATTTTCATTAAAGGGTATAAATTTGGTTTTACACAATGCATCATGTCGTGTAATTCATAAAAGTAGTTCTATTAATAAGAGAAATCGGATGGAATTGTAAGAGCAAAGCCAGTTCGAAATTAAAAAAATACACGTTATTTTTTAATAAAGTTCGAAATTTGGCGAAATAATACGGTACTTATCGCATTTTGTGTTAAAATAAATTATAAAAAATAAGATACCTTAAATTTATTATATAAATACGGTTTTAAAATCTATTCAGCTTACATATGTGGTGAAACTGTTTCCATAAAACATACAGTTATTGCCGATGGTAACATTGCCTTATTCGAACTTATATTATTGATGGTACGTACATCAAGCATCAAGAAAATCATTCCATCAGACTTAAATGGGAAAATACAATAGAAAAAAAAACGTTGATACTCCTGCAAATTCAATTGACTGAAAAAAACTAGATTATCAACATAACTTGTGGGAATTAAAATGTATATAACCATGTATTATATTCTCGAACTAAAATATTCTTTATATATCCTATAACCAATGGGTACTAATCCGACCACTTATTTAGCTGCGAGTCCAAATGGCATTCTTGCTGCGACTTTTAATTCAGGTATGAATTTTAATTAATCATAAGTCTGTTTAATTTTGATACCATTAATGATTTCATTCATTCGCCTTATTTATGATTAGAAACTTATGAAATTAGAATATACGACGTTGAAAAATTAGAACCTTATGAAATTAAAGACGCCGATTTTAACTTAGAATCTCAAAAAGGAGTTGAAAAATTAGAACATCAAGAAATTAACACCGGCGATGTTAACTTAAACGAAATTACAATCGACTTAAACAATACCTTTGTACCAATTCAACTTAACCCACATTTTAAAACTGAAACACTTGCGAAAGTATCATTTTCTTTGGCCATTTCCAATTACGACAAAGACGGACACGAAGCATTCGTAGCTTTATCACGTTTTTACGATGAAGATATGAAAAAAAGTGACAATTCAGATTCAACTAATGAAAATAAAGAAAATCTTTCTAAGAAAGATAATCCATCAGAAACGTTTATTTATTCAAAAAAAAAACCAGACGTTCGTATTGGAACAAATGTAAATAAGTGCGGTGGGATCGTTAAATTTTTGAATACTTCGGCAAATCTTATTGTCATGAACGCATCTGGAATTTCAAAAGGATATATCAACCATAATAAATCTTTCTATATCAATAAACTTTCTATAGAGGAAGAATATGAATTTCCAACAACCATTCAGATTAAAATTAAAAAATTTTTTCAACAAAAGCCTTGTACGGAATTTTTAAATAACATCGTTGAGAAAAATTATTTATTTGTTGAAGACTTTAAAAATGAAAGACTTGAAATGTATAATTTACAATCTATGGATTTAGAAATGAAATTTCAAGAAATTAATCTTCCAACAAAAGCAAGTGAAAATCCTATGTTTTCTATTTCAAGACGTAACCATTTGTTAGCATATTGTAATGAAACAAACTATATTACGATTCATTTAATGGAAAATGGACTTAAGATTGCGAAGAAAGAATTTGATTACTCGGAAAGAATCCTTTCATTTTCATTTATTGACAATGATGAAAGATTATTGGTTGTCACTGAGATAGGACGAAACGTGATGATAAATATTTGGGACCTTTTCACTTTTAATAATGATATACGATCGTTTGTCGACGAATCAAACATTTTTAGTTCCTTACAAATGTCTATTAACACAATAGCTTTTTCATGTGGAAAAATACTCGCAACTTTAGATGAAACTATTCGTTCGGTACTTGTATTATCGAAATTACCGAATGATAAACGTAAACCACAAGATCTTACCCAGATTTCCAATAATCAAATAAGCAATAAAAAAGAACCCTGGTCTGACAATAAGCAACATTACCAACATTTTTATCTTAATGACGAAGAATCAGTTGAACTTATAATTGGAGAAACAACTATTCAAGTTTGGAGGACAATCAACTATAAAAAAGAACAAGTTTTAAAACATATTTGGGTGATTCCAAGTAGAAAAATACTTAATGCATCTCTGAAATATCATGATAAAACTTGTGAATTCTATTTAGAAATAAGATGGAATGATTCAAATGATGAAACTTATTATGAATTCCATTTAGAAAGACCGTGGAATGATGATTCAAATGATCAAAAGAAAGAAATGAAAATTTATATTAATTGCACAAATGAAACTCATGTTCTCAAAGACGCATGTGTTGCTATGAAGTATATTAACGATCGAAGACACGAGATTGTAGGGCCTAATAATCTAAAAACATACAACGATTTGGTTAAAGGCATCGAAGACCTCATTAAAAAATGTATCGAAGAAAATCACAATTTATGGAGTTTAACTGAAGTACGATATGGCATTATGGCCAATATCATTCGATCAAAGAATTTATCGTTGTTACATTGGATTCTATTCGATTATGAAAAAGAAACGGAAGTTAGTAATTACTTGCATATTCCAAGTCAATATAAATTGGTTACAGAAACAATAGATAAGAATACCAGCACCACTAGTGATTTGACAATCGCTATTAAATTGACTTTAGGTGGACTTCGTAGGGACAAAGCTATCGTCGCCATGCTACTCGAATACTATTCAAATAATGCGGAAAAAGATACAGGTATGTTAATTAATTGATCTCATACAAAATCCGAAATTTATTACTAAAATAATCATTCCGCGATAGGTTGGATGTTTACAGTGACAAAGGCTCTTCCTTTGCTTAACAATCATCAATTTAGTATGTAAAGTAACATTTCCTCACTCCGTTTTTTCGTACTTCATACATATTATTTATTTGTTGCATCATTATAAATTCAGAACCTTATTTAAAGGAATTACTTTACAAACCATGCTTTGGGTCTAAAGAAGAACATGTAGATTCAAAATTTGTGTGCCAAATAAAATTAGAAAAAGGATATAAATCGGAAATTTGTTCATTAAATGTGAAACCACGGCTCTTATTGAAGAATTGGTCAATATTGAAGCGTTGGTCATTTTGGAAGCATTGGTCAATATGGAAACTTAAGCCAATTAGTTCAATATTTGAGGGATGGTCAAGTTGGAACAAATCAATATCAAATGAAAATGAAAATAATGCACAAATAGCGACGTTACGTTTGGTTCCATTACCAGATTTTACAGTCTATCCAGCAAATGCAGATATTAAAATCAATACCAGTAGATATAAAATTCTGTTAGGTTTTATCTCTCTCATATTTATTCCAAGACGTCATCATTATAATAGCAAAGATGATTTTAGCTCTTTTATATCACTTATAAAAAATAATGATTGTACAGAATTAGAAAAATTATGTGATAATCCAGCAATGGAAGCATGCATTGATTTTAAATGGAATGCAGCGAAAAATTATTTTTATCGTCATCTTTTACTTTTTATGGCCTTTTCTTTCATGTTTGCTTTGGTTTCTGGAATAATCCCAGATGTTGATTCTTCAGACCGAATGAGATCTTTATTCTCATTATTATTTTTTTATTTAGGATATTATCTTTTAGCGAAGGAAATGATACAATTATTTCACGATGGATGGTGGGGATATAAAAGCATATATCATTTTTTTGATGTGGTATCAATAATTATTGCAATAGCTGCTATCTATTCCATTCTTCAAATTCGTATTTTTTTTAATGATGAAAGTGTAAATGTATCTAAAGTAATCGTTATTCTGCAAGCGTTTGCAGTCTTAATTTTATGGTTTGAATTAGTAAGTATTATATTTATTAATTACTTTTTTTATACATTATTGATTTTAATTTCAAAATTTATTTCTCTAGATATTATTGACTCGATATATTAAAGGTATTTATCTTTATTTTATTCATTCATATTAATTATGTGACTAAAAACCAAATTTATATATATATATTTTTCATTAAAAGTTTTCGCAACTTATATTAGGATAATTATAAATATAATAAAAAAAGTTGTGCCATTCCTGTTTTTTATGGTAAGATTAATTATATCATTGAAAGAAGAAACATATTAATAATCAATTAATTAATTCTAACAAAAAATCTGTAGCTAATAATGACCGTTGCTTTCGGTCATGCAATGGTATGTGTGGCTTATTCTAATTTACTTTTATATATATTTATTTGTAACGATCAAACTGTATTTCTTTTTCTACTTTTTATAAAATGATTAGCATATCATATTGAAAGATCCTAAAAGGATCGGTTTGGAACCTAGCGGCGATAGCTTTGTGATAAACTCTCCGGCGGACGGTATGACACTTACACAAGAATTTGATATAGATAAACCTATCGATAATTATTATGTATCATTTCCATATGCTGTTATGGGAGTTTATTTTTGGAATCTTGGAAGATGGGATCAATTAGAGGTTTGGGATTTCTGGCCAATTCACGTATTTAGTATAGGTAAATATTTCTTTGATATATTTAATGTTTTAAATAATCGTGATGTTAAAAGTTTTTTTTCATTTCTAGGCGCAAGTATTTTATTGGTCATCATCATGCAGAATTTGTTGATTGCATTTATGACGGGTGTGTATGATGTCGCATGTCAAAATGGAAAATTAGCGGTTTTAGGTTATAGAGTTGGTTTAATCGCTAATTACGAAACGTTACAGAAACCATCTGGTAATTTTAGAGGGAATCCGAGGTATATTTATTATGTTGGAAATACCGAATATCAAGCGAAATGGCAGGATAAAGCTGAAGAATATAGGAAATCTCATAAATTATTCTCATTTGATGATATTTTTACTAGTAGAATTACGATTGAAGAATGTCTTGAGGATATAGAAAATGTGATGCGAAATGGTGTAGTTGCAAAGTATAAATCTTTAGAAGAGTATAGATCTTTAGATGATGATATTAAAGAAATGAAGACGATGCAAAATGATATAGTTGCAAAGTATGAATCTTTAGAAAATTATAGATCTTTAGATGAGGATATTAAAGAAATGAAGACGATGCAAATTGATATAGCTGCAAAGTATAATTCGTTAGATAAGGATATCAAAGAATTGTTATCATTGGTTAAGAGTGCAAGTGTTTCGTGATGCTTTTATTAGTTTAGATGTGTGTCTTATATTTTTATTGTATTTCCCTCATGATTTAATAAAAACTGATACGAAATTATTTATTCCAATCATCTATCTAAAAAAAATGTATTTCCTGATATCCAATAAAAACTTGATTTTAACAAAGTGTTAAATATTTCCCCGGTCCGGAATTTTATAAAAAAGTAAGTAGCTTCTTTATGCAGAAAAGGATTTGGATATCCAACATTAATTTATTAGAAAAATCGAAACGAACGGTTTTTTGGAAACGTTGTGTGGGCAACTTGTAAGAATAATGATTGTATTTTCGCTTTGAACAAAGATATATAGGGAGAAGTTGTAAATGAGGTAAAAATTATAAATAAAAGTATTCATCGTTTTAATTTTAATAAAAAATAAAAAGTTATATTATATTTTATTCTCACATTTAAAATTATATCGGTATATGGAATCGGAAGATCGGTGGTAATATGAAAATCATTTTTTAATAAGTAAATGACCATTTCTTTAATACCTTTAAACTTGTTTTTTTTTATAGTTAGTAAGTAAATAGGTACGTTGTCGTTTTGAATATGTTTACAGTGATACGTCAGATTCTTATTTAAAAGGTCAAGAACTAGATTGTAGAAAGTTTCAGTTAGCGTTGCAATTAGCAAGTGCATGTGATATTATTATTCATCGCGATCTGATTATTAATTTATTTATTTTTAATTTAATTTAATTTTTTTTTCATCATGAATATTCATAATTAATTAATATTATTTTAAACATCAGAATCAAAATTAAAATTTAATGAGAAATCTGACGGTTATAGTTTTTGAGTTTTATAATTTCAAGTGGGAAACAATCCAATCATTTCATGGTATTTATGGACTAAGACTAACTTTGATATAATAAATGGAAGTAGTGAAGAAATTATTAATGCCACCCCTAGTAACTTATATAATGGTAAATTAAACGATGCGTTTCACGCATTAATTTTTATGAAAAATGAATTTTTTTATTTTAATTTTTATAGGATATTGGAAATATGAACCAGATGAACGTCCAAAAAATGTAACAAGTTGTTTTAATCCTTAAGAGCATTATTTTTCGAGATAAGATGATTGTATATGATGATTTTATTTTCAAAACCAAGTGAAGTAATAGTTATTGATTATTATTTATGTCTCGATAATAATCGAATATCAGTCAATTTAATCTTCTTTTCAATTAAGTATGCCGATTCATACAATGGAATTGTCAGATATATTGTTATAATATTAATCATTCAGACGTTGACAAGTTAATCGCAGGAATAACAGATAATTAAAAAAAAATGATAACGGGTATTAACCTTGATCAAGTTCAACATCTAGTTATGCTGTATTCATAAGACCCGGGATAAAATCAATTTTGCATGTATTGTCAGTGGGTCGTGTAAATATTTACATATTAGATAGCAAATAATCAAAAAAAAACTTAGTAAAACCTTTGTAGGTCGCGTATTGAAATTTGAAATGTGTAAAGGTCATTTTTTATTTATTGATTTATTCGTTACAAACTACTATTTCTTTTGAAGGAAAAAAGTTAAACGTGACCAACTGAATACCGGACCGGTAGCGGTCGAGCTCAAAATTTATTTTGTCCCAATTCCATTTTCTATCCCAAAATGATAACAAAATTAAAATAATTCGAAAGCATTTAATTTTATAAAATTGCAGATAAAAAGGGAAATTATTAAAATGGTGAAGGAATAGAATAGAAAAAGATTTAAAAAAGCATCACAAAAAAAAAAAAAAAAAAAGTTTTAAAAAAAGGCATTTATTGGTATATGAGTAATGCATGCATAGTCTTCATGCATTGATATATAAAATCCATTTCTTTTTCATTTTTCATTTCTCATTTATAAATTTAAATGCAATGCATATAAAATAATGTATCAAGTAATTATATAATTTTTACAAGGTAAATAACAGTCTATACAACAAAGAAGTTGAGACTTCATTAAAAGATTTAATACTGGATTAAAATAATTTAATTTGAAAAACATATAACAATCTGGTAATAATACACTATGTAAGAAAGATAGTGATAATGCTATATATGAAAATAAAATAAGTTGGAAATTGAAGGATAAATGGATAAATAAAAAAATAAATATGCTTGCTTCATTTACTATTCTTTTTAAATGATAATATAAAGTCATAACCTTTTAGTAGCATAGATTTCTCCTCCTTCTGATTTTTCATTTGAAAAGTTTTACTTCAGAGTCTATCACGACCACGTTGTCATAGAAAATTAATATTTCACCTTTTTTATTAAAAGCCGAAATAAATATTCCAGAATATAAATATTGTGAACTTTTTTTTTTACGGCTTTTCTTTTATAAGAACCAATTTTTTACTTCAAAAAGTCATTTTTTTTTTTTTGCTATCCGAATGCCTAATTGATTCATTTCTTGATAAATAAAAGTTTTGTAATTACAGAAATAAAACATTTATAGAAACAATCAATTAAATTTACAAGTTTTGTTAAGAAGGATCTCTATTTCGTGAAAATGTTAAACTTGATAAAAATAATCAATTTCTACAATTTCTAAATACAAGCATGAACTGGAGCTATCACCAACCGACTAACGTGAAATAAACGTATTTCATCAATGAGAAATTTTTTGACGGTAATTATTTAATCTTTAAACAATTAACATTTGCGTTATTCGTTCTCTGGAATTCCCGATATATTTATTATTTTGTTTTAGTTTATTTTATTGTTTATTAACACGAGATATACTAGTCTCTTTGTTTGTAATTTACATCAATAATTCATCTTTTTTCAGTCTCTGTAATTGAAACTTTAATAACATGAAGAGAAATATTTTTTACGTAAAAGTTCCGACATGCAAATTTAATGACAACTTCATCAATAACGGAAAATTTAAATCTTTCATTAAATCCATTATGTCATCACATACCTTCTTACAATACCTTTTCGATAAAAGCTTAAATTCTTTGAAATGATCTTTAGAATACGATATCTCGTTATAAAACTTACATGCAATGGTCAACATAATATATATATATATATATTGCGTCTTTAGGGCGTGATCTCTTAAAAAAAATTTGATCAGTTAATAATAAACGAAAAGACAAATTCTTTGGTCAATTAAATTCCATATAGATACTCTAAAGTTTGGAAATATTTAATAAATTTTGTAGGATTACATGAATATAGAATATTCAGTAAATTGTAATCCTTCTAGAAAAAAATTTGACTACATCACAAAGAATTTTTTTTTTTTTTTTTTTTTTTTTTTTTAGGAAAGAATATTTTTGCTGGAATTGAATTGAATTACTCTTGATTTTAGTATTAATACTCAAAAAAAAAAAAAATTAATAAAAAATATACTTATAATTAAATATGCCTTTCAAACCTTTGTTTTTAATATCACGCCACTACTTGATATTCAAAATCCAACTTAAAGTAATTATCCCGAATTGAAAATAAAAATGTTTCAAGATTCTTTGTCTAATCTGATACAGGAGACTCATGTATCCATCCCTTAAGTCATAATCACGATTTGTGTTATTTGTTGGCGATTATATTATTATTAAGCGGAGTACTTTATAAAAAAAAAATTATAAATAATAAATAATAATAATAATTCGTTCAATGTTGTTTGGTCATTTGCTGTTGAATCCAACCAATTGTCAACCTAACATGATATATTTTATTTCTTTACTATGTAAGATTGAAAGAATTAAAATTATGAATATAAGGTCTAATTTCACCAATTCTTAAATCTTTTAAAACGTTCTTAGTGTCAACTTGACAATAATTCTCAACAACATCCCTTAACTCATCAGCCAAAAAGCTTTCAAAATTTACTCGATTTCGATCTTTTAGAAACCTTATTTCCCTAAGAGATCCAATTTCTTTAATGGCATAGTTCACCATAATTTCCAGATATTCTTTACGATTTTCAAATGAATTGCGAAGTGTTATGGAAACTAAATTTGCGTTAGATTTATCGAGTAATAATTCGAATTCTTTGGAAGTTATATCAAAGTTCAAATCCAGCTCAAGTAAGCTATGAGGAAATGATCTTGCTAATTGTCTAATGTGAATAAAGGATAATTTTTGATACTTTGGCATGTCCAAGAATAAATAAGTAAGAGGTAATTTTTTCAATAAATTCTCATAATAATCTGATAATGATTCTGAAATTCTTAAAGATAAACGAGTAATATTTATATTATAATTTTTTAATGTCATGATAATAGAAGAATTCGTTAAGAATAAAGTTGAAGAGAAGGTTTTTAAATTTCTATTCATTGATTTAAGAAAGTAAATCAATAAATTCTCATTTAAATTAAAATTGAAGATAAATTTCTTGATTTTAAGATCTAGAAAATTGGGTAAATTAGAGTGAACGATCTCATGTTCATGATATTCTCCCCTCATGGTTTGAGTTAATTCCAAACTATCCAAATTATGACAAGAAATTAATAATTGAATCAACAAAGAGATGTCGGATAATCCTTCCAATTTTAAACATGTTAAAGTGTTCGCATGTAATCGTATGATGGAGTAAAGGATCGAGGAATTGCTCCAAAAATTAGTTAATGATAAACTTTTCAACCCTCTTTGCGACCTGATCAATTCAATGATCGCATCATCCACACCGGAATATTCTTGCTTATTATTTTTATAAATATGAATCGATAAATGTTGAATGTTGTGAGCGTATTCTGCCAGCTTATTAAATAAATTGATCCAATTCGAGGAATAATAATTATCAGCAACGTTAAAACCCTTGTAATTAAATTCTTTTAACTTGTATAATAAGGATTGAATTCCATCATATGATGTGACATCCGTGAATTTGATATCGTTATTGCTTTGATAATTGATCGATCTAAATCCATTTGAATGCCTGCAAAATAAATTTCCCAACATTCTCGCTACCAAGTGTACATTTTGTTCAAATTTATTTTTACTGGGTATGCACAATTTGATCGCGTAGATAAAATTTTTCATGTCAAAATATTGAATATATTTTGGATATTCAAATAACAATTCCCCATTTACAACAACATTTGATGATATTCGAATTTCTTGAGTTTTTAATAATTCTTTCTCTTCCCTCGTTAAAAATTCAACGTAGATCTTGATCAGTTTCCTTCCAAATTTCTTTGGATAACCATGTTCGAATGGACGTCGCCATAATATCGGCATTGACGCTCTACACCAACGTCGATTTACAAGAGCACATGAGAATAGCGAATTCCTATCGTTATCCATTGATTCAAATATTTCTTCAAGACAATTCGATGGAAGTCTTTGCATAATATTGTATTGTGATGAGATCTCTAACGATTCTTCGGGTTCTTCAAGTGCATCAACAACTTCATGTTTAAAATTCTTTATTGTATGCTTTAAAAGTTGAACTGGTGATTTCGTATTTACGAAGAGGAAAAAAAATTTTTTTTTTTTTTTTTTTAAACTAAACTTTTTCTTTGAAGAAACTTTTTCGAAATTACAAAGAAACTTACTTGAGAACATGTTCGATAAACAAAAATTCAAAAATTAAGGGAGAAATAAAAGGGGAAAAAAAAAGAGATGAAAAAAAAAGGAAAGCTCCGGAAACACACTCCCCTTTTTTTTTATGTTAATTAAATCGGAATGACTCCTGATATGCAAGTCACGAAAATCAATTCCTATAATGTTCCATATTCTACTATTTTTTTTTTTTAAAATCAAGTTTTTTTTGAACCGCAGCAATTCATTCTGTGGCGTGATATCCAGTAGATCACGAAAAAAGGATACATATCATATAAATGAAAATCTTACCAAAGAGTGATAATACAAACATTATTACCATATGAATAAAAAGAAAAAAGAAAGAAAACTAAACAAGATAGAAAAAAAGTGCGTTTTTCTTTTTTTTTAACATTTACGAAGGAAAACTCGTTAATACCGACATGAATCTATTATTTTTATTATATTTTCATTTTGAGGGTTTATGGGGTTTGTTCCTTTTTTCCCCTTTTTTTTATAAATTTTTGTTGGCAAATAAAAAAAAAAAAAAAAAAAAAAAAAAACCTGAAACACTAAATAATTTATTTAAGTTTCAAATGTTCATATGAATTATGTACAGTCACAACCACCAAATCAATCATCATCATCATCATCAATAGCGTCATCTCCTAAAATATTTGATAACGTTAAGGTTTTCTTTGAAGAGATAACATCGGCGCACTATGGAGACCATTATTATTATTATGATGTAAAAAAAAAATAGAAAGTTAAGAAAAGAAAAGAAAACGGTTGATACGTACCGAGATTTCTTCCCAATCTTCTCTACGCTTAACATTTGATGCTTTGTTTTCAAAAGCAACGATGGCAACATTTACGCTAGGACCCCAATACCATGAAAACATGGTGGTCTTGATCACTCTTTCCATACCACCCTGTTCGTTAATGAACCCTTTTTTTCTTGGTAAAAAGTTAAAAGTTACATCTGTTTGAAAATATACATTATCCGTTAAATTTTCACACGTGGATTTCATATATGCTACGAATTTATATGAATAATTTGGCGGTAACCATCTATGCTTTCCCAATCCTTTTTTAAAAAATCCTGTTATTTGCGTCCCACTTCCGTGTAAATCATCGTAAAGAGCGAAATTACCAGAAAATAATGCAGAGTCAAACGTTATGGTAGCTATTGGATTGTTAGGCATTTTCCATGGCGGAATGCATGTTTTTTTGTGTTTTTTGGATGATACTAATGTAGATATTAATACTATATATGCCAGATATGCTAAAATGAAGGATTTAACCGATTTCATTTTGAAAAAACTTAGATAAAATTTACAAAAAGTACAAAAAAAAATGATAGATGTATAAATGTAATTTTTTTTTTCTATTTATATATGATTCATTTCATTTAATAATTTTAATTCAAAGTATTATTAAATCATAAACAAAAAAAAATTTAATTAAGGGACAAAAAGAGAATAAAATTGTCCTGTTTTTTTTCTTGAAACGAAAAAACGAGTAAAATAAAAAAGGATAATGAAATGTCCTTTTTATATTAAAATATTATTCTAACCAAATTCATTTGATTTTTGTACGACAAAGAAATATTTGTCTTTTTTTACTGCGACCATTCTGGTGGTTGTCGGGGATTATTGTCGTTGTGCGATGTCATGTATGCAGATAGCACAAATTTTTGAAATGCAAGATATAAAGTTTATCTATTTACAAATTCTATTATTTTTTTTTTTTTTTGCAAAAAGTCAAAGTTTAAGCTATTTTCATATGTGCATTACGTCCTGAATTACATCGTAGTACAAATAAATAATCACTCCTCCTTTCAGTCATTGTCAAATAACCTGAAACAAGGCATAATAATCAAAAAAAAATTTTTTTTTTCATATAAAATTCCCCCATTATCCCCAACTCTGTGTAAAAAAAAAATATTCTTTCACTCCCATCCCTCAATTCATCTTAAAGGAAAACCTTTAATTTAAAGAAAATGTCACATAATGAAAATAGCCCACTAATTAATAGTTCTTATTATTACGAAGACGACGACGATGATGATGAAGAAGAAATAAGTTGTATACAAAAATGGTGTTTAATAATTTGTTTTATAGTAATATTGATAGTAGTGATACTAATTTTTATACCACAGCAAGGTGATATTGATCAGAATATTCCAAGTGATATTTCAATGATTCCATATCAGTATCAATTAAGTTTTAAGAGTCATTGGTATTTTGGTTATTTGATTGAAACGTTACCCATAGAATTCAAAGATGAGCAACCCGAATATATTTTATTAGCCGAGATAATTTCAATATCAACTTCTTGGACCTTTGGAGATTATGAAATTCATGAATACCGTCATAACGATACATCCGGCAAAATGTTCCCTGTAAAAACCGTTAACTCATCGTTGAAGGACGACGCTTATGTATCATTTAAAACAAAAAACACTTCAAGCGATGAGAAGTCAACTGAATTGTTAAATCCGGCAACTTGTGATTATATTTTTTCGTTGACGGCGACTCTTAGAGGATATATATTTAGAAAATGTGCGCTTGCCAATGAAACAGATTATACCAAAATTTCTTACGTAAAAGGATCTACTACTTGGGGATTAACTTTCTATAATGGCGATGAGATTTACGCTTCGACCTCCGAAACCCAATATTGGTGGAATATGAATAGAAGGTTCGTGAGAATGTATTTATTTATTTATTTATTTATTTGAAATTTGATTTCCTCATTAAAAAAATATACCTTTAGGGATATTGTTGTGACCACATCTGCACCTTTTCCACAAGTCATACCAGCCATTTACACAGCTTATTACGATACAATCCAACATATTCGTGATACCAAAGGTAGAAGACACTTTCGTTAACAAATCAATCTTCTTCTTTAGTGATTTCCATTGAGTAGAGTATGCGTGTATATATATATTTTCATTACGCATGTTGGCAGTTCCGCAGCCTATTCAAAATATTTGTAATATTATTAGTTTTCGTATTTATATTTTTTAATTTTTTTTTTTTTTAATAAAAGTTTTACATCAATTTATTAATATAGAAAATATAGATTTTATTTTTGAAAATATGTAATTAATTAATTAGTGGTTTAATGATAATAAAAGAAATCTCATGATCCGTATAATATTTAATTCAAAATCATGATATTTCTTATCATATCATTTGTCAAGTTTTTTTTTTTTTTGTAAATACGCTGGAGAAAACCTAAAAGGCTAGGGAATATTCTTTTGGATGGTTCTTTCTGGTCAATGGTTTTTACATACTCTACGAGTTCAGTGATGAAAATATTGAATGACATTCATTCATGTTGTTCTTGAAAGATCTAAAAAATTTTTTTCCATTCTTTAATCCAAAAAAATTTGATTCAAATACCTGCGATCTATTTGTATACTGTGATTGATGTATATAATCAACATTATCAAATCAGGGGCACAGAGATGTTTGGTGCGAAAAGCTATGATCGTAATACAGAATTTATTTAAAAAACAAAACGAAGATCTTTGTCTTTGTGCTACACATAAGGTTGTACATTTTCTTTTTAATTTTTTTTTTTTTATTTTTATTTTTTTTTTAAATTATGAATAAAATTTACATTTTTATTTACAACATATATTTATAATAATAAAACGATAAAATATAATCAATAATCTTTATAATCACTCAGTTTCCTTTCGAAAATATTTTCTATAAGAAATAAAAATAAAAAAAAAGAATTATAAGTCACGCGAATATTAATCAATATAAATATATTATTATTATAAATGTCACTCACCATGATAACTGAAATCACAATCTTTTGCTTCATTAATAATAAAAGATTCATTGGAGGTTATTTTACTTTTACTTTTCTTTTCTTTATAAACGCTATTTTTGGCATCTCTCAAGCGTTTAGACATTGTTCTTTGAAATTCGTCATCGCTACCGCTCCAACTTCTATTCTTCCTTCTACATCTATGATTAACTAAATTATTCCAACCCAACTTGACATCTTTTAAACAACTGTCATGCTCATGGGAATACTTGTATAATATTTTCAAATACTCTACGTAATTATCATCTACGTGATATAACCATAACGATCTAATACGTGATTGTGACTCATTTAATAAATCACTCAAGTGTTGAGGAGAGATAAAACATTTTAAATGAATGCACTCTAAAGAAGTTGGTAAGGAAGAAGCTAAGTTGCTAATCTCGAACATATTTTCTTGAAAATGGGAATACGGTAATTCTAAATATAATTGACGTAAAGGAAGAATTGTAATGAAGTCCAATAGAGATTTGAAGTTTATATTTTGTAGAATGTTTGCGACGTTCAAAGAGGTAATGTTTGTGCAATAAGAAGAGAGGATTTGTAAAATGTTTGGAGTGATTAATTTTGTTGAAAAGGTGGTTAAGTTTGAATTTATCATTTCAAGGATCATCATCAAGAAGAGTTCATAATTTTCCTTATCAAAATTAAAATAGAAATGCTTGATTGAAAGTTGTGATAAAGGGAAGTTGGCGATAAAACTATCCCGGACGAAGTTATCGTTAGAGCTTTGTTCTAATTCTAAAGTGTGTAAAACTTTACAGGATGTAATGATTCTAAGCAAATCAGAAACGTCGTTCATTTTTTTAATATGCAAATAAGATAAAGAATTCACATGTTTGTAAATCGAGTTATAAATCGTTTTGGAGGTGAAGTTAATTGATAAATTTTCTAATCTGTGTTGACTTAATAATAATTCGGAAATCGAATGATCGATTTTCATGTAATCATGTTCGTTCAATAATAATTTGGAGATCGAAGGATCAACCTCCATGTCATCTATTCGAACATCTAAAGATAGGTTATTGATTTGATTACAATTACTCGTGATGATACTAAAGAAATCAAGGAATTCGTTCAAATTCATCTTGTTAACCCTGTGGGGATTTCTATACTCCAGTTGCGTCAATTGACTTAACCAATCAAATGAATTTTGAGGGTTTAACTTGTTTAATGGAATAAAATCAAAATTATCATAAGTCCTGACACGAAAGTAATTAAATGTCTTGAATCCGCTTAACGCATTTTCCTTGAGGAGAACCTTGCCAAGTAATTGCGTGAGCACACGAGATTTTGTAAAATCCTTGCAATCGTTGGGATACCTAACAACCCACCTATGAACTGATTTAATAAAGTTATCATAGTCCAATACCTTAATCAATTGTAAGTAATTGAACTTATGAGTCATAAAAGAGTCAAATTTTAATTGTTGGTAACGTAAGATGTTCTTTTCTTGTTCGGAAAGGAATGAGATGATGGTATTTATTAATTGAGCATTCTTTTTCCCATCGAGAGCGACAGAAAAGGGACGACGCCATAATACAGGAATTGAAAGTGCGCACCAAAGTTTGTTTACTTGAGCGCACATAAATAGAGAATTCAAGTTGGTTATGGTTGAGGAGACGATGTTGTCATTTGAAGTGTCGGTATATATATATTGAAAGATGCGCTCAAGACAATCGATGGGAAGGTTTCGAAGGTCAATAGTTGATCCACGTTTTGATTTGTATAATTTTAAGGAAGTTCGAACTCGATGCTTTATCTCTTTCACTATTCCCATTGTTAAAGATAGTAAAGATGTAGAAGCGTTCAAAAAATTGTGGAAAACGAGAACTTATTTTTTATAAAGAAAAAAAAATTTTTTTTTTTCTTTTTCCCTAATTATAGAAAGTTTTTGAAACCAAATGAGAAATAAATCAAACAAAAAAAAGTTTAAATAAGTTTAATTTATTTAAAAAAAAAAAGGTGAATGGCGTAAAAGTAAACTGATCCATATTAGAACAACAGTTTACAAATATGAAAAAAAATGGAAAAATAATCAGAAATTTATGTCCTCAGATCATTACCATTTATCATAAACGGACAATCCATTCCGCTTATCGATAAAAAGTTTGTTTTCTATAAAATTTAATACAACATCCATTATTTACTACTCCTATCAACAAAGGACTCACAATAACCAAATGAAGTTATTTGTGAATGACAATAAAATTTTGATTTACGATATGGTTTCACAAACACACCTAAATATGTTCGCATTTTTTTGTAACCATCCAAAGTAGTCATGGTCCTTCGATATGGATGAGAAATTTTATTGTTCCACAATTCCATTAATGGATTTTTGATAATTAATGTATCAATTTTATAATAATGGATAAATTTGAAATCTGGTGATGATAATCAACCATACAAATCTTTTTCGTGTAACCTCAGTGTTGTGATCCTTTCTACTATAAGAACTCACGTTTATGTAATTCTGCTTGATTTGCCGATCTCCGAATTTTTTATCTAACGGATTCTTTCAAAAAAGTATGCCCGTTAACGTTAGCTAATTAATTGTGATTGTTAAAATGGTTTCCTTTTCTATATAACTTATGGTTTTGTTTACCAACCCTTACATGGAAAGAGAGAATTCAAAAATAATGTCACGAATTGTAAATTTTTGATGCTACAAAGTGAAGCAAGTGACCTTTTGATTTTGTAACCAATAAATGAATTTAAAAGTATTTGCATGCATGTGGGAAATTCTGTCTGGATAACGAAAATTTTATTTGTAAACTCTTACATTCCGAAAATTTATTTTGAACGAAGGAAATGATGTTAACTATTTTTAAAAAATTTATTACAACATTTTTAATTTATTATTCAAAATATTTTTGTAAATTTTTTTGTAATACGTACGTATTCTGCAATCATTTCCTTTTTTCTGTATTTTAATTATCTTATTTATTTTGGTTTAGATTTACAAATGCCATGTTGTGTCAAAAAAAAAACCATATGATAAATAAAAAAATTTTTATTTTTATTTATCCCTTTTTATCCTTTTTTAAAATATTATCTATTGTGTGATTTTTTTTATATACAGTACAGTATTATTACATCTTTTTTTGCGAATCTAACTTATTTTTGAAAGTAAATAAAACTATTTCTTTTTGTTTTGATTTACCAATTTAATCGTGTTAAAAATAAATTTCATATATTAAAGAAAAAAAAATAAAAACAATGCAAGGAAAAATAAAATCCTTTTTTTTCTATTGCTTATTTATCTATTAATAAATAAATCAATTCGTTTACTATTACATTGAATTTTAAAAAAGGTTATCAGTTGTAAATCCAAAAGTTCACATGAAATTTTTTTTTGTTTGATTAATCTTTAAACTCGGCGATTATTTTGTCTGAAATTTTACCAATTCATAAAATAATTGTGGGTATAACTTTTGGCTTTTACAATCATTAAAAAAAAAATCTCATTTACTTCCGATTAACTAGTCATTAACTTTTATAGAAATTAAAATGAAACTAGTGTTCATCCAATTACCCGACCCGAAATTCGGGTCAGGTCACATGTTTGCCCAACATCCTTATATAATGTATTTCACATATTGCTGATCACATTGCTATTATCTATTAACTATTATAATAGTATTTAATAGTTTATATTTCTTAACAATTAAACATTAAAGTAACAATGAATTTGAATTTGGAATACAAAGGTTTACTTATTGTTGTCAATCGATCTTGTTTGTTCATGCGAAAGTTTCGGGTGACACTGAATTCTTAAGTATCAATGGCCGCCGTAATAAATCAGAATCTTTACATGACGATAAGCATAAAGTTATTAAAATTTTTGTAAAGAAATATTTATAAAATATATATATATTAACAATCATAACCTAAAGGCATTTGTTATCGGATAATATGAATAAAATAATCGACAAATTATATAAATTATGAATTTTTTTTAATTAAAATATTCAAATATAATATTGACAAAAATATTGCTCCGTTTAATTGTTATTTAAAGGATTCTATCAAGATAATCAGATTTATCTAATCTTAAATTATGAAATATTTAAAACATTATATCTAATAATATCATTTCAATTTTATTAAAATAATTACCATTAAATTCATCTCATCAATAGAATTCCAAAAATTTATAAAGATCATTTTATGATTACTGGTTACTAAAAAATTCTTAAATTTATATTAAATCAAAACAATTATCTATAAAATTTATATTAGTTTTTTATATTTCTTATTTTATTTATATTTATATAAATTATAAAATTCAATTAATTATTTAACTAAATAAAAAAATTTTGTTACTATTATTAAATGTTAAATATAAATTTACATAAGATATAAGATTGTACAAATTGATATATAAATAGATATAAGTTGAATTTAGGAAAACCTATTAAAAGTTTAGATAAAGATATTTATTATAAACAAATAGTTTTATCTCAAATATCACAAACTCAAATTACCTAAAAATATTTTTGGAAGGCATCTTTAATCTTATAACTTATATAAATATTATGAGAGTCTTAATCACTATAAAAAAAAGTGACTATTCCTAGGATTTTATCAGATTTCTATAAATTTTCTAGACTTTATTGAAATTCCTACTATTTTTTCAGAATTCTAATCTTTATATAAGAAACTTTATTAGTATTTTCTAGTAATAATAAAACTGGTAATAATTTAATTTTTTGCTTTTTTATTTTACTGCAGCTTTACTTTTTTTTAAATTATTAGATAGAAAGTTAATTTATTTTGTTTTTTTTTAATTTTAAACAATTGCTAAAATGAAATTTTTTTTAATTTATTATATTTAATTTTAACAAATTACAAGTTTTTTTAATTTTATTTTTAATTTAATTAATTACAGAATAAGGTTTTTTAAAATTCTTATTTTTTTGCTAAAATAAGGTGAAAAAGCTTTGTAACCAATCACATTTTTGAAAATTTAAAATTTTTAATTTTAGGAAATTTTAATTATTTCTTATATAAATATATAAATAACTGAAATTCTGTAAAAATAATAGAAATTTTATTATAAATCTAGAAAAATTATAGTAATCCTATTAAATCCTCAGGAATAGCCACTTTTTAAAGTAAATAAACTAGCGTTTTATATAAAATTAGTAATTCTATTAAAATAATATTCTGAAAATTTGTTAACGTAATATGAAAAATTCAATTTATTTTAAAATTTTTGTGTAAAATATAAATAAATATAAAATTATTTTAAAAATTATATATTAATTTATAATTGATATAAATTAATAAACTAATCTATTCTAATCTAATTCTAATCCAATTCTAATACTAACTCTAACTTTAAGCCTAATATTTACTTTATTTTTAAATTTATATTAACAGTTTATAATATATAATATTTAATTGATTAAAAATTTGCTACATAGTAATAAATTTCTAATCAATCATAAATTTTATATTGCAAACTATAAAGTAATTGTTAAAATTATTTTTAATTTTAATTTTTGCGATTTTTTTTAATTTTAAATTTCAAACTTTTATTTTAAATTAATAATTTATTTATTATATATATATATATTTTATTTTTAATGTAAAATTTATTTGTTTTTTTAATAACCCTACTTTAAATTTTTAAAAAAAAGTTTTGTAACTCATTTTTTATTTTTTTATTTAAATTTAAATTAACAGCTTTATTTTTTATATTTGCTAATTTAAAATATTATTATTTATTTTTAATTAAAACTAATGAATTATTATTTATTTATTTATTTATTTTAAATATAATCTATTATTTACAATTTATTATTGTTATTTATTTAATTTATTTTTTTTTTATGTATTTTTTATTTACAATATTATTTTTTTAAATAAATTTTTTTTATTATTAATTTTATTTTTTATTATAATTATTTTAAATAATTTTTTATTATTTATTTTTAACTGGATTTTTTTTAAAAATAAATTTGTAAGCTTTTTTAATTTAACCTATTAATATTAAATATCTTAAATAATTTTTTTATTTATTAATTTTTTTACTTTTTTATTTTGCTATAGCTTAATTTTTTTTAATTATTTTAATTTATTTTTATTTTTTTTAATTTTTTTTTAATTTAACTAGAAATGTTAAAATCCCTAATAATAATTTTTATTTAATTTTTTGCTTTTTTTATTTCAAAATGCTTTATAAAAAATGACACTTTAGAATATTACTATTATATAACTTTATAATTATATTTAGATTTTATAAATTTTAGTAAATTTTAGAACAGTAACCGCTTAAGTAGCAATTTGTATTTTTTTTAGTAATTTTAGTAGTATAAATATGGAATTAAAAAGAATAATAATTTATTATAATTAATTAATTGTGATAAAATGAAAAAAATAATAAATAAACAAATTATAATAAATAAATAAGTAAATAAAAAAATAAAAAAAAATTATTATATATAATAGTCTGTAAAGCTTAAATTAAAGGATTAAGAAATCTTTAAATTTTCAGTAATTATATATAACGATAATAGACTGTATATTTAAAATTTATAAATAAAGTTTCTTAATATAATTTGCATAAATTTCTAAGTTCACTTTAAAATATCTAAATAAAAAATTAAATAAGGATTAAAATATTATTATAATTATCTGATTTAACTTTATTGCTTTAATCAATAATATATTATAATTTATTGTTTGATATCTTGAGAAATCTAACATTTTTAATAATTATACTAATATCAATTATTTAAATGCATTGAGATTCTGAAATTTTAAGGATCA